TACTTCTGGCTTTTTCTGCTTATGTGGTGCTGAGGAATCGAACCCAAGGCCTCATGCATGCAAGGCAAGCACTCTACCACTGAGCCACCTTCCCAGCCCGAGACCTGTATAATTTATGTCCAGGTATTTTAGCTGTAGCTTCTGCATATATGAAAAAACATGCGCTGTTTGTCTTTCTGAGCTTGGCTTACATCAATTAACATGATTTGTTCTAGGTCCATCCATTTCCCTGCAAATGACATAATATTCTTTCTAATGGCCGTGTAAAATTCCATTATGCATAGGGACCACATGTTTTGGATCCACTCATGCACACATTTGGGCTGTTTCTACAACTTGAATAGTATGAATAGTGCAGCAATGAACATGGATATACAAGTGTCTTTATGTGCACACTCATGTTTATCATAACATGATTCACAATAGCCAAGCTATAGAGTCAACCTGATGAATGGATAAAGAAAATGGCATATTTTCAGCCACAAATACTACATGAAGAACAATGAATTGGGGTTGGAGGTGTGGCTTAAGTGATAAGGTACCTGCCTAGCAAGTGCAAGGCAAGGCCTAGAGTTCAAATGAATTAAGTCATTTGCAGGAAAGTGGATGGAACTGTAGATCATAATGCTAAGCAAAATAAGCCAGACTCAGCCAGGTGCTGTTGTCTCACGCCTGTAATCCTAGCTACTTAGGAGGCTGAGATCTGAGGATTCTAGTGCAAAGCCAGCCTGTGCAGAAAAGTCTGTGAGACTCTTCTCTGCAATTAACCCTCAGAAAACTGCAAGTGGAGCTGTGGTTCAAAGTGGTAGAGCACTAGCTTGAGTGGCAAAGCTCAGGGACAGCACCCTAGGATCTTAGTTCACACTCTTGGTACTAGAACAAAACAGACTCGGTGGATTAGTGTTTTGGAGGGGCTTGTGGGGCCACCTGGGATTAGGCAGGCCTATATTCAGGCCAGATGATGCCCTGAGCTTTCCAGGAGGCTAATCAGTGGCCCTCTCCTCCAGACCTGCGTTTTGGGAAGCAAAGGCATCCTCCTCCAATACATCGCTCCAGGGCTCATCTGATCGCCCTTCTCCACACCGTGCACAACAGACAGATGTTGAAACTGTTTATTGAAGTCTTCCCAGACAGCAGCTAACTCTCTCCCCACCCCCAACTTCCCACCCAGGAACCCGGGGGAGGTTCCCGATAAGGAAAGGCCTTGGCCTGGGTTTGACATAGGAACAATTACTCTTTTCATTCCATATCCTTCTTCACTTTCTCCTCTTCCTTTTCCTCCTCTTCTTCCTCCTTCTCTTCCTCCTCCTCCTCTTCTTCTTCTTCCTCCTCCTCCTCTTCTACCTTCCCTTCCTCTTCCATGGCTGTGATGTATTCCATCTGATTGGAATCATCAAGGTCGGGGAGAAAGGTGAAGTCGCGGCCGCTGGAGCCTCTGTGGAAGTGTAACGCTGCAGGCCCGCAGCGGTGTGAGCGGGGCGCTGGCCGGGCCCGCACGCTGGCAGCCCGGGCTCCTCACCCCCTGCTCACCTTTGGTAACATTGACCTTGTTGGCTGCCAAGATGTCCGCCTGGATGCTATCGATCTTCCTGTACAGGTCCTCAGCGCTTTCCTGAGGACGGGAGCGGGAGGGGCCGGCAGGGGTGAGGCAGGGCGGGGTGCACTCTGCCACTGGGGTTTGAGCAGAGGGGTGCTGCAGGCAAGGCTTCCTGGGGTGCAGCTCCCAGCCCGATTGCCAGAGTGCAAGAGCGGTTGTGGAGACCCGGGGAGCGCGGGCGTCCAGGCCGGTGCTGGGG